TCTCTTTCTTCCCTGTACATTGTTAATAACATTATTTATTTCCTCTGATACTTATTTGCGTAACTCTGCAACATCCTGAATCCCTCGTCCTCACTGAGATACTTTTGTTTGGGGAAAAGCATTAGCTATTCCTGGGCTTAAGTCTGGATCCAGTGCCCGAAATGTGGGCACATGTACATATCTACACACACACACATACGCACACACACACACCACATGAAGTTCATGCCTGTTTATGTGAGTAGGTCCCCAGCTGTTGAGTGATGTGCAGATGTGGCAACCAGAAATGAGGGATTACAGCTAAATCTGGAGGGAAAGAGGAAAAGAAGGACGGTTGGGGGGTTATTGGGTGAATAGTGTGGAGAACGGAGCGATTGACTAAAATTAAGATGGGGTTAAGAGGGGTTAGAGGAAATGCAACCTGATGATAGAAAGATTAGACACTGATGAAGAGAGTGCAGGACGAGAAGTTGGAGATAATAAGAGAATATGCGAAAGTGACAGAACGCAGGAAGGATTTAGATGATAGAGAAAAGAGGCATGTTTTTTAACAAGCTAAAGCTGGAGGGAAGAAAAAAAAAAAAAAGAGACTGCTGTTAAAAAGAAAAACCATCCCGTGGTGGGAATTGCTGAGGCTGTCACACAGTCCATTTCTTTTTCCTCCATTTGATTACAAATTCAGCGATTTCTTCGACTCCACACAGAGTCCGAGGAGAAGGCTGCGTTACTGCAGGCGAGAAGAAGCTGCAGATAAAGAATCCTAAGACTCACATTCATTAAAGCTCTCACACTTGGGAAAGAGCCAGGATGGGTTTTTTTTTGTTCACATGTGTTTTCTATAATTCATAAGAGCAGTTAGCCTCTTTAAATGCAGAAAACAGAATAGTTTACATTAGGCGGGTTGCATGAGTGTGAATTAATTTATCTGTATGCAAATCTAAACACGTGGTGAACACCTCAATTTGGGGAATGAAATCTTTGTCGTTTTGCAGCATCACATGTAGCACCACCATTTCCTCTAGCCCAGGGTTACAGCCGAATCCTGCCCTCTTTAATATTCACCACGTTTTCACACACACGCTGTTGCTGCATGGACTAGAGGCTGCTGCAGATGGCAAATGTGGTCTGCTTGATATTCTGCGATAACTTTCCTCCACTTGTCAACACATTAGCCGACTGATCTGCAGAGGATTGGCAAGAGCCCAAATTAATGTGCGCAAAAGCAAAGCCCTCTAGGAAGCTTAACTCCGTTCTAATTAAAATGCACATTCACATTTTCCTGCCTCTTAACAACATGTCCAAGAAAGTCTGTCTCATCAAACCCCATAAATTAGTGGGCTGACGTTTTAAAATCAGGAGTTTTCATTTAATTTAGGGTCATTGGAATGTGGATATTCAGTATTTAGAACAGACATTGTTCTCTCAGATTTCACATTTAGATTTTCACTCTTGTAGCATGTCGACCTAACGGAGAGTTTGAGATCATTTTCTGAAGGGAATAAACACAAGGGTGAAACATATGGTCAATTTACTCAAGTGCTGTGCTAAAAGGAATAATTTGACATATTTTGAAATACATTTACACATGAAGATTGATAAAAACATAGAAAACTGATGATTCAGAACTCTGCAGGCTGAGTGGTGACCAGGAATAGGAAAAGAAGAAACAGTGGGCCTAATAATAATAATGATGATGAAATATAATAATGTGAAGTTAAGCAATATACAAAAGGAGAGCTAGGTAAGTATAAGGAAAGAGGATTGGTTAGTGGTTTCAGGAAAGATAGTGTTTAAGATACAGATATAGAAAAACCCAAATCCTCAGAAGAAGGTTATGACCTCAGTGTCCTCAGTCTTGAGTGCTGAACTAATCTATGAGAGAGAGGAACATGTGAACTGTGAAAACAACCTGTTTGTTAGAGGAGCAAAACATCAACATGTCCTGAGTGATCTCAGGTTAAGATTAGAATAAAGTTTGATTTCCGTGCAAATCAGAAACAGTTGACATTATAATACAGCCCAGAAATAAATGTTGGTACAGTAGGTCAGCTCATCCTTTCAACTCTTACATAAGATACAATTTTTCTACCAACTATTCTTATTTTTGCTTCCTTGGGACTGCAGATGTTCTTATTGAATACTGATTTATTTTTTTCTTAATTTTCCCCCCCACTGATTCCTCATGCTATTGAATGTCCCTGCGCGGCCTCACTGGCACCAATTTTAACCACAAATCAACCCAGGTTTGTCATGAGGTCACGCTAAACTTCTCTGAATTAGTTTTGGGGGCAATATTAAATTTTAGTCCCACTGAACTTCAGCAGCTAAACCCATAATTCAATTCTGCTTAGATGAGCAAATACAGCTAAATCTATCCCGACTGCACAGACCACATATATTACGTAAATCAACTCCGTGCTGTCCCCATTGTTTCTGCTGAATTCAATCTTTATCTTATGGGCAGATATACTTAGTAAATCTGTTGCATAATGTTTTTCACATGTCTGTTTCACCAGCACAATCACAGAGGGGAAGAAAGCTTTGGCGACACCTATGGGTGGAAAGCAGAACAAGGTTACACTTCTCTGAGTGAAATATTCAAATCTGCTATTTGCCAGCAAGTTACCTGGAAGACATGTTTCCCATGCCGCCATGTTTTTCTCTTGAAAGGGATGCTATGATCTGAAGGAGAGAGACATTTTAAAAAGAGAACAATACATGGTTGCACATGATATTTCGGAGTGCCACAATAAAGTGCAGTCAAAAAATCCATAAAAATGTGTGGAAAAAAACTTCCCCCAACACGTCAGAGATAATGCACAGAGAAAAGTGAGACGACACAATGAATATAAGAATTGAAATGAACACAGGCAGAAAAGGGCTCGTCTCTGCAGGCGACTCTGGGTTGAAAGTTTTCCAAGAACAATAAATATCACAAATACAATTTGAGCATCAGTGAATGGATTGTGAAGAGGAACATTTAGTGTAAATGTTGACATCTGTTTCCAAGCACTTGTCCAACTTCTGCCACGAAGAGGTTGCACAGGTTGGTCATTAATCAGAGGGTGGGTGCTTCAGCTCCTCCTGCCTCTTCACTGTTGAGCAATCCCTGATTTGAGGGCATGTTCAGGCAAATAAGTTGCTTCTGGACAAAAACATCTTACGTCTTTGGGGATTATTATTCCAAAAGTAAAAAAAAAAAGAAAAAGAAATAAATAGGTTTTCATTTTAATATTATTTTCTGGGCAGAGGCATTTTAATGAGCCACAACTCATTTTTATGACTTCTAACCTGGAATTAGAAGTTTCCAAGGAGCACTCGAAGGCAGCACTTGTCTCTGTGGTTGTCTCTGTGATTGTCTCAGTGATTGTCTCATTGATGTCCTGAGCTGTAACAAGTTCTCCGAGGAGGAAGCATCTGTTTCATTGTTTGGGCCAGACGGTGCGGCTCGTCAGGGGAATTCTTCTCAGCGACGCGGGTCTGCTCATGCTACAGATGGCTTATCTCACAGTAAATGATTCAGAAAATGATAATGTGTCTCCAAACGTAGAAGAGGTCATCTCCTTTGCCTAATGGAATGTCTTCCTTAGTTAGAGGCACTGGACGAGGCACTTGGATATCTCTTTCCCAGTGGAGTCTGTGTGTCAGCGGCTCTGGGAACGGTACTGGCAACTCTCCTGAGCCATCATTTAAATAATAAGCAGACCAATTAATGATTCATTTAGGCACAAGCAAAACATGAACTTTCCCAGACAGTGACTTTTAGGTATAACTTTGTTAATTCCCTTGCATAACATCCTCGCTGCCAAAAGCTCAGCAGGCCCCATTTTCTGCAAAAAATGAAAAATAAAAATGCCTGTTTAAGTTGTCAACTCAGGCCCGGGAGCAGAAGCTAAAACCCTTCCACTGTTTCCTGGTGTCAAAACACTGAAACGTGTTAAGTGCAAGTCCAAACCCATAAATTGGCAAAGGGACTATAAGCCAAGACCTAATGTAAAACTCAGCAATTATCAGACTGTCAGCTAAATGCACAAATGTCAGAGAGAATCAGGAGCTGCCGCCTCACAGCAGAGCCAAACAGCTGTGAAACAGACATTAATGGACGTTATCACTTTGTTGGTGAAGTGCGACTCACATTATGTATGTAGTCAATCATGTAAGAATAAATTTAATTAACTCGGAAAGTTTCTTGGAACGAGCCCTCTGCACACACGCGCACACGCACGCACGCACACACACACACACACACACACACACACACACACACACACACACACACACACACACACACTTCTAGATATAATTTGACCCGGGTCTGGAAGTGAAAAACCTCAAGCCAACACCCAAATCACCTTGACCGTTCTTTGAGATTTCAGGCCTGATCATCAAAGACATCACAGACAAAATCTTATCTGGCCCCTGTGTCCCCTCCTGACATGGACTTTAGTCCATCTGAGACACTTGTCCCTCCCCATTGTCAGCTTCTTTCTGTTCTGCGTACAGAGATTAGAGAGAAGCTGACAGGGGCAAAGGGAAAGCAGAGCGACGTGGAGAGGCAGATTTGTGGAGACATGAATGGCTTGCAGGTGTTTTCTCTTCTCTTTTTTGGGGGGAAAAAGAGAAGGATAGAATGTGAGATGTGGAGCCATGACTTTACCCCCACGCTGTCATTATGTTTTATAGCAGAGGAGGTGTTTGTGACTCTGAAGCGAGGGGCTCTAAGGTTAGGCTGTGTAAGAAAGGGTGATAGTTTTACACGGAGAATATGTGCAGCACGTTTACTGTCTGTTCGCATGTCTGCTCACAACCGACATGTCTAAAAGTGGAGTGTGAGTAAAGGAGGGAGAGAGCTGCTTTCAAGTAGTATTCAGGAAAAACAAACAACAGAGCAGGGTGAGTGAAGGTGAAGGAGTCACCGTTGAGATAAACAAAGGGCAGATGAAGGATGGAAAAGGAAACCATGCAAAGAAAGACTTTCTTGTACAAATAAACACACAAAATTAAATTTGCAAAAACATTTTAATTGGCAACGTTTTTAATCATTCTTGGTTCAATTTACAGTTTTGTTTTTTTAATTCATTCTTGTCAAAGGTAAACACATTTCTTGTGGTTGTCTCCAACATCAGTAAATGCTTTTCATCCGCTTCCCAAGCCCCCATAAACTAACATTACAGCAGAGCACATTCTCTCATACACACTTGCATATTCAGATCCTACAGACGACTCCTTGACGGGTCCGAAATGTCTAAATGCCACATACTTGAAAAAGCGCGGACAAACACATTCTACATACATACGCACACAACTGTGCACACGTTTTGTTTTTTCTTGCTTGCACTCCTACACACACACACACACACTCATACACACACGCACATTCCACAACCGGCATGTATTATAAATGTACATTACAATGCAGACTCCTTCGTTTTACAAGAGCAGCACTTGAGTAACGCTGCCCTTTCATCACCATCGTCTGTCTGGTGCATTCACAGTTGGGTTGTGACATGGTCTTCAGCAACATAATGTGGTTAGCAGTATCTGTTACATGAGTAGTGTAACTGAGTGCATGTCCCCACTGATTAGTCAAAACCAATAACCCTCCTCTGTCCGTCAGGCTGAATTACATCCGACTATTTATCTACACAAGCAAAAAATGCTGCAGTAAAAATTCCACTGTTTAAAAAAAAAAGAAAAAAAGAAAAGAATAAAAAAATGGCACAAGAGCTTATTGAGCAAAGGCCTACAAATGCACACTAATAAATTAGGTAGATAAATAATATATTTTAATGTTAAAATAAATACATTTGTAAACGAAATCAATTTAAAAAGCACAACATTGTAATCTGATTACTGCCAGCCTACATTGTCCTGTATTACAATATAAAAAAGTGACCTCTATTTGCACATTCACACGTGTTTGGTTGGTTTTTTTTGTTTTATTTTTCTCTGTTATATTATAAAATGGCGGCAGCGTTACTTTGAGACTCAAAGCACTATTTCTCCTCAGGCACCTGCCGCACTCTGGCGACTGTATGGGGTCGTTTCCATGGTGACCGCAGCTGCTGTAATGGCCATCAGTGCCAACTATGGCTGGGAACCTCAGATGTGGAAAAGGAATGGATGGGGGTTGTCTGCGGATTGAAAGGGAACTTGCTACCTAGAGAGGTTTTTAAGGATTGTAAATTAGCGGCGCGTTCTGAGTGACTGGCTGCGAGGAGAAAACGTCTGACATCTGGAGAATCTACGGCGAGTGCTGAGGGTAAATGCGTCGGAACAAAACACACATCTAGTACAGCTACTACATCGAAGTGCCGTCAAATTACTAGTCCAGGGTCTGTATTTTTCTCGGGGTTGTGTGAAGGCAGGAAATGCAGACAAAGGACTAGTTCTCAGAGGGTACTCGCTATCTTCTAAGAAACGCAGGCTTTGCATCTGTACCTATCACAAAGCCGGGGGTATTTCTGGTGTCTGGAGAAAATGGATTCTTGAAAGGCCTGTGGAAATCCTCGCAAAGTCTCTCCCTTTTTTATTTTAAGAAACACCTCAGGCTCTTATTACCAACACCTCCCTCGCTCCGGTGTGAAAACATTCCTCTGTGTCCGGGACAGTGGCAGCAGTTCTCATCACTCACTGATTATATGAATATCCTGTAAAGTCCAGGTGAGATCAGCACAGTTCCACAGAGTCCAGCTCGCTCCTCACTACATCAAAGCTGAGTTTAATCCGTCAGCACACGTGGTCCCCGAGGTCCAAGGCCTAAAAATCCACTGCAAAGTCAGCTCCTGTTACAATTGCCACCTTCTTAAATTCCTCAGGTGGTTTGATATCCACGCTACAATAAGAGTGTGTAGTCTACATCCAGCTCATTATAGGTCCAATTTCTCCCTCGCCTGTCGGGCACAACAGCAGCATAGAAGTCATGTTTCTGAATCACCATGTTGTGGCACCTGCATGGAAATGCTGTGGTATTCATATGATAATAATGTCCAACAACACACGGAGTGTAAATATGACAGCAAAAAGGCCTCTCCTTTCTCTTTTGAGTTCTGTAAGTTAAATTAAAGGATTGTTGTTTTTTTTTCTGTTCTTTCAATTGTGGTTCTGTTCTAGATTCACGTCTGTGTTCCGTGGGAAACTCGCAGCATAGGTGGGTACAAAGCCCTTTGGACAAGGCGGTCCAGCTATGCGTGAAGCGTCACTCTGCGCGACAGTCGCTAGGACAAGAGCACGGACGACACGAGCAGCATCGCCATTGTGAGAAGAAGGCGGTCACGTGATTGGCTGCTGCCGCTGACGCTTTTCTCCAGCTTGGGAACTTCGGGATTGAATTCATCTGGAGAGAAAGAGAGAGAAGGAGAGACAGAAGGAAGGAAAAACAAGAAAGTGAGGAAAAAGAAGTGAGCGTGAAAGAGCCAGAGAGAAAGTGAGTGTGCCAGACAGGAGGAAACCAACCATTACTCCATTATTAATTCATCAATCTAAAGGCAGTGTGTGATGCATGCAAATCCTCTTTTAACATATGCAGAGAAAGAGACATGATGCAATTATCAACAAACCACCAATTATCATCAGCACTGCTACATATGGCCATTTCCCCCCGTGGGAAGGAACATTTTAAATGTTTCTCTTTTTTCCCCTCATGTACTCCTCTATTCACACCAGCAATGTTTTTATCCTAGAGGGATTTCAATCAAACCAAATTACTGCGGCCGTGCCATTGATTAGACACAACAGAACATTAGCTGTGGGGGGGGAAAGATGGAGGAAGAGCTGCGAGGACACATTTTGTAATATTGGGTAAAAAAAAAAGTGGATTAAACAGAGTCATTATGTTCTGTCTCACGTAATGTTTCCCATTATATCTAGAGGGTTATTATGTGCCAAAATAAAGCACAAAAACAACCACAGTGAGCTGTGTTGCTTACAAATACATCAGTTTCTAGGACAGGCTGGGCTAACTGCAGCGAGACGTTAAAACCTGTTTTCTTCCTCTATCAAGTAATTCAACTAAGTGCAGAAGAAAGCTGTAATTTCTTTCTGATGCCAGACAGACACAAAAGAGATGTAAGTGAAAGGTTTGGATGATGGAGGAGTTTTAACCCTCCAGATACAACAAAGTGATGTTAAAATTGTGTTTTTAGGGAATAGTTTCATTTTAACATCTAAAAAAATGACACTGAAGGGAGGAAAAAATACTTGAAAATACCTTGATACAAGAAAGGATATATATCTCCTGACAAAAACTTTTACTTCAATGTATTTATTGTGAATCCTGAATTGACCAGGGTCTTTCTGTGGGGAGTCTGCATGTTCTCAAAGCTCCCCTTTGCTCTATTAACCAGAGGATTGGTGGTTTGATCCCCAGCTCATCCAGTTTTCATTCCTAAATGTCCCTGGGGAAGATACTGAACTCCTCTAAACGGTGTGTGACAGAAAAAGAGCTGCAGGAATTAATGGGTGAATACAACTTGTACTATAAAGAGCTCTGAGTGGTCGATAGGACTCACAAAGTGCTACGTAATTACTGCGAATTTATATAAATACAGTCGGCCTTGGGATACGCTGGCTGCCTCTTGCCCACTGTCAGTTGCGACCCTCAAATGATAAACAGTATAAATATGAATGAATGGTATAAAAACTCTAGCCAACATATTGTCTTCCACAAAATCTCTGAGCTTTTTTATACTTTGGGCCTTAATTTGTGAGCTGCAGTGGAGGACAGACAAGCAATGGAGAGACAGTGGGGGAAACTGGCAACAGTCGACCGGTGGTCAAACCAGAGACTTTTTGCTCAAGGCACCCATATGCTGTGCAGCCTCACCATTCAGCCACCAGGTCACCCTAATGTCTGCCTTTTTTCTTCTGGAAGACCCATCAAATTAAGCGAGCAGGGTGTGTACAAGAGTCGGTTTCACTATGATGTTAAAGCCTTGTTTGTAATTTGTAAAATATAATGAGATTAATTGCAGACAAGAAAATACAAGGAAGGGAATAAAAGATAACAGACAGAGACAACAAACATATGACAGCTGATGTTTGGTGAATGCACGGAATTTTGTTTTCCTCCGTCTCAGAGTAAACCATCCGGTCTCTCTGGTTTGTCCTGGTCGTGTGCGACTTGAGCCCACGTCAAAGTTTATCTCTAGGAACACAAGGCGCCTGTCTGTCAGCCGTGATGAGACAAGACACTGACATTCACACCAGCATGGTGAACTCCGACAGAAAACAATGAGTGAAGGCAGGAGGGACGATATAAAACAGCACTGCCTCACGTGGCACCTACAGGTGATTCGGTGCATTTCTCCAAGAGGTCGCGTCAGATGTAAAATGTATAGACTCTGACCAGACACTGTCCCTGCAGAGGAGGCTGCCTCTTTATCTTTACACAAACATCTCCACAGCTCGGTGCAGACTCTTCCACACTTGTTTTATCACTGCGAAGAGCTTTGACAATCACAAAGCTGCACAAGATGCACCTCTTCAAAGCCCTTGTTATTTAGGGAGGCTGCCCTTGCAAGATGAATATGGAAGACGTCGGGCGCCTCAGGCCATAACGAGCTATCAAAGGTCCTCGGTACCACACTTAACATCACAGCACAATTGTGGGATACAGCAATCAATTTCCGAACACACTGTACAACAACAGACGAGCATGCCAGGGCTGCCCTCCTGTCCACGGTGAAAGCGCCCAAGGCGTTTACAGTGAGATAAAAAAGCATCAGCACTAGGCTGTCGATGAGAGGGAGAAGATTGTCTGGTTGGATAAACACGCAGCAATGATGGCAGCCTCTGCAGCGAGGTGTAAACAACACGAGGTGATGGAGCCATCATGTATGATTACAGCTCCACAGGTCAGTGGGAGAAATGGGAGGATTTTCAGCCAGCTTACTTTCTGTCCCTTAATACCTGTAGATCGATAAAGTAATGCCGGAGCAAACCTTTACATCGCTGCAGGTTCGCACGTTAATGACCCGAGCACTGACAGTTACAGTGCAGGATTTGTCCTCGAGTGGTTTAGGAAACATTCAGGTGGAGTCACAATTCACTGATTTTTCTTTCCATTACAGGCTGAGGAACTAAAGCACAGTATCTCTAGACAGGAACAAATCTGTAGAAAGCACTGATGTTAAGTTCAAGTTAAAATGTATCATTGAAACTATAAAATAATTCAATAAAATACAGCTCACATCTACAATAGGTTCAGCAATAGATCAATGCTCAGTGGTGGTGACTTGCACCAGAAAGAAACACTTCATCAAAACTGGTCTGTTGGGTCAAGAATCAAGATTCCATGGATACTTCACTGTCTTTTGAGTGGTTCAAACAAAACAAACTGAAATAACCCCCCTCATCTCAAAAATAACTTTGTTTACATGAACACAATTTATTGAATTAAGTGAAAATTTAGATGAGCAGAGACGAGAAATCTGTATTATTATTGTGGAAACGGTTTCGTTTCTCTAAGATATTTAAGGTCTTGACCTTATGTGCCTTGAGATACTCTGTTATAATTTGGTGCTATGCAAATAAAATTTAATTAAAAGTTGAATTATCAGCTACCAAGATCTTTTGGCCATTTAGAGTGGAAGGAAAGGGCCGAGTCAGAATCAAACCTGTGGCCTCTACAAGAGGGCTCCAGCCTCTGTATGCATGTCAGTTCTTCTAGTCACTGAATATATAGATTGCACATATTGAAATAATATTATGTAGTCTCTGGGTCTCTTGTTGAATTACGACCGATTCTGATCAAATCTTCTCATAACAAGGCACCAATCATGCTAATGTCTGTTTCTGCATCTTAAATCTGTTTCCAGTTGTATTTTCTGGTCGGATGCCTGATTTATGTTTCAGGCTTTAACCTGAACACTGCTGCAGCAGACATTCAATATAGGAGGCCAGAGTCTGAGGGCGAATACATCACAGATGGAAAAACGCACAGTATACTAAGCTTTGCTACAGGAAACAATCAAGCCATGATTAATTCAAGCAGGAATCAGCAGGACACATTCTGAATCCACATTTGTGCTGTGAGCAGTTTGCTATAAGATGCTCAACCGTAACTAATCTCTGCTATTCATAATCTATGTTGAAAACAGCTACAAGCACAATAGAGTTGTCTTCTAAAAATAAAATAAAAACACTATAAGTCAAGTCACACTTAAACTTTGACTCCAGTTTATTATGACTCCACAACGCTGACACCCAGTGGCCAGAGACATGTTTTCGAGCCGTCTGTCCGTCCCACTCTTGTGAACATGATATCTTGAGAACACCGAAAGGGAATTTCTTCAAATTTGGTACAAAACCTTCAGTTGGACTCAAGGATGAAGTGATTTGATTTTGGAGGTTAAGGTTGCTGTGACCTTCTGAAACACAACTTGTTCAATAACATCTCAGGTGCTCCAATGATTTACAATTAAGTACACATGTTCATATTTTTTGGCCTCTTGAACATGATATCTGAAATCTGCCTTTAGGGATTTTTTTCAAAGTTTGGCTTGAAGATGAACCGATTAGATTTCAGTGGTCAAAAGGTCAAAGGTCGCAGTGAGCTCATATGCATCTGTAGACTAAAACTGCAGGGCGGTAATTCTAGGAGGAGAATAAAAGCAGACATTTTGGCTAACATGGTGTTAGGGTGGCTGAAACACTGTTTACTGTTGAAACTCCAGAAGTGTTTTGTGGACTCAAACACTTCACCCACCCCTCCATCGCGAAGCATTGACTAGATAAAGTGAGAGAAAAGGTGTATAAATCACCCTTGAAATACTGGTAAGGTAAAATGTGATGTAGGAGCAAACCTAATAATAAAGTTACGAGGACGACAGCGAGTCCAAACATGCGGAGAGAGAGAGGGAAGCTTTGTGGATGCTCAGCCAGTCTGTGGGCTGGTCTGGTCCTGAGTGTGAGTCAGGACAGTGGGAGTCCAGCGGTCAGCGGGGCCATCAAGTTCTTGTGTGTGTATGTGTGTGTGTGTGTGTGTGTGTGTGTGAGTCCTGACTTTGTTATCTCTCCAAATGTATTCAACAAAATGCATCACAACGCTAGAGGCTATGATTTTTTATGACTCCCTGCCTGTGTGTGGTTTTTAAGTTCTACGTAAGCTCCAGCCTGAGTTACTGCTGAGCAATTCGCCCACCACTGAGCTCTTTCTTCCTCTGCCTCCTCTCTCCCCTTTTCTCTGCCCCCACTCTCACTTTTATATCTGTTTTCCTGCCGGTCTCTCTCTTTCTCTCTGCCTTATCTGTCCCTCTTTCTGTCAGACTGTCTCCTGCTGCATTTCTCTTTCACTGCCTCCCATCTCTCCAACTCTATCTCACTTTCTCCATCTCACCCTGCCTACGTCTCTCCCCCTTCAGTCCCTCTCTTCTATTTTCTCACTTTCCTGCTCTCTCTCTCTGCAGGTACTCGTGGCTGATGGCTCGAGAGCTCTTTTCCCTCTGACTCTGCTGGTCTCAGTTTCCATCTAAGACAGGTCACACTCTCTTAGCCCTCGTCACACGCTGCCTACAGCTCCCACAAACAAGCGTGCTAAATGATTCCCGGCAAGAGGCTTTTGTTTGAGATGAGGTAGGAGGAAGAGAAAAAGAAATAGAAGGTTTATATAACCACTCAGCTGCACAATTGACTCTCTGGTGGACATGCTTTCTCCTTAGGTAAACATGGACCTTTCATTCCTGAAAAGACCTCTGCTGACCTTGTGGCATCTGTGGGGAGGAAAAGGAATGTATGTGTGTGTAAGTGTGGTACACTCAGTAGAAGATTGCATTTAAAAGGATCACTCTGGTTGGTTATTGCTTATCTACTTTAACTTTGCCAATTATCACTAATGAGACTATACTCACCTCAGGTCAATATCTGAGATCAGGAATGGTAGTTACATCACTAAAGTCTGATGGGGTAATAAAAGCTGTTCGATAAAGGTCTTAAAAAACCCCGCAGGACATTTAAACTCATTTGACAGAAAAAACTAGGTGAACAACACCCTGCTGATCCTGATAGTTTACAGACCATTGTCTTTGTTCGACTGCCTCATGGTGTGCAACTCATTAAAAACAACTAGAAAATGCATTTCCTGCCGAAAAATACAGTGTAAACGCTGAGTTGCTGAAATGCTTTGCTGAATCAAGCAGAAAACGAATGACGTGACATTGTCACACCGCCAAGAACATAATGATGTATTCACCATGTCCTAGTGTGACGTCCCATCTCTAAGCCCCCCCATAGACACCCATTAAAAAGCAGAAACATTTCAAAAGTTGGACAAAGAGTTGGGCAGAGAAAAATATAATTTAAAATACTTTATGTAACTATAATCAAAGTAAATGTACTTGTTCGAACACACCACTGTCATGAATGAAACAATGCAACTCACAGAGGAAACACTGAATTGTATGATGACACTGACAAACTGTATTATAACGTTGGTATCAGAACCAAAACTGCTTTAGAATCACTAGGAAAAATATAATAAACTGAAATTAGACTTCAATGTTGCACAGTGGACATCATATCTATTGTGTTTAGTTCATGATCCTCCTCCTTATTGCACAACTCTCAGAGGAGAAAATAAAGGCTCTACTCATCAATCAGCTATGGCCTGAGGATTTTCTTTTTCCGGCCATACAAAAAAAAAAAAAAAAGAAGAAACTAACAAATGGTTGGTTCTTTTCCACAATGATGGTACACAAATCAGCAACACAGAAACAAATGTCTAGTCACTCACCGATGTTGTGTACTTTGATGTTCGGCCTGACCGTGTAGTCGGGAGAAGTCTGACTGGAGTCATCATCTGCCTGGGAGACTGAGAAACGCATCACATATATATACAAAGGAAGACAGAGAGAGAGAAAGAAAAACAAAGAAGAGGGAGAAATAAAAGCAAAGGAGAGAAAAAAGTCAGCGAAAATCCCATTCAAATAACAACGCTGAGTAAAATGTATATTTCAGGCACAGTTGAATAGTGTACAGTTATAGCAGCACACAGGGGTGAGTGTGTCCCTGCCACTGAGAGTCCATGGAGAAATCCTGGACTCTGACAACAGGCCTCCGACTGAAGATAGAAACCATTGTTACATTTACTGTTCGCCTCAATGCCGAATTACATTCAGTCTGCGCTGCCACATTATCAATGAATGAATGATCGGTGGGTTTGCTGATGAGCATGTGTCTCCGTCTTTGTGTATTTTCTCCCCTAGGTAACTAAACATGGCTGCCTGTGATTCTGCTGCAGAGTGAGAAGTTATTTGAAGAGATTTTACATAGAAGTTGTCAGTAATAATTACCTCTGCAAGACAGGTTTGGGTTTCGTCTGTTTGTTTTGACCGTTAGGGCCGATTTCAGACAGGAATACTAGAGAATATCCATAAAAGTTTTTACTAGAGGGCGGGCAGGCAGGGGTAACTCCAGAAAATGTCCAAAATGTCACACTGATATTTACATTCTCACATACAGGCCCTCCAGAGAATTGAGTGAAAGGACGTCGTAAGGGTCGGGAAAGAACCAGTTCTTTTTCTTCACTTTCTTTAACTTTATGCATTCATTTCTCAGATAACAATCAAAGAAATCAAACATCTTTAGGGGACTGATATTTATGAGTGTGTGCAATTTGTTGCACATGCAAATAAAATAATCTGGATTCAGTGAATTTAAATTCCTTGAGGGCCTTGACAGAGGTATGAGCTCTACTGAGTGATGAAAAGCATGTGTCATGAATATTCACATCTCTGTCTTATCTTGTGAGGTTCGAGGTGCTAGACGCAAGGAGAGAATGAAAAAACGGTTTCTGGGGGCGGCAGAAATCAACAGTGTTTCTGACGGCAAGCTGTTAAACTGACCTTGCTGGGCAGAGGCTGGGAATGGTAAACCCACTGAATGCACACATAGCCATTCATGTGCCTACACATGCACGCATTGAATTTACAGCTGACAAAGTAACACATACACACACGGTCAAGCTTGAACACACACACGGCCATTGCACACAAACGAAAGCAAACGTGGCAGACACATCAATAGATTAGCCGTGACACTGGCATGGGGGGGGGTGTTGGTGTTAAGGTTATGTGTACACAGGGGCTGACACTAGCCTAAGTGTGGGATGTATTAGTGCTGACAAGGTTAGAGGAGAGGGGGAGGCTTTCAGAGCCGGGCTCCCCGATCACAGGGCTGCAGGGGAGAGAGCAGGCTACCAGGGTAAAAATAACACACTATACAGAGCAGCAGGCATCAGGAGAGCCAGAAGGAGAGGAGATAGACAGCGAGGGAGGAGGAGGAGGAGGATGAGCGGGGAGATGGTCAAGAGAGTAGAGGAAGAGGAGGATGGAGAGTGACAGAGGCAGAGATAAGGGGCAAGGTGGGCCGGAAGAGCTGGATCTCTCAGCTTTCTCTGTTTTCGTTTCTACGTCTTCACAAGAGCGAGTCATTCACAGAGAGAGAAAGAGAGATAGAGCATTACTGTAACAGCGCTGAGACGGAGAAACATTAAGCCATCACGCTCAAAGCACAGCTTCCAGGGAGAAGATGCCATCATCAAAACCTCGCCAAGACAGACAGAGAGAGAGAGAGAGAGAAAGAAAGAAGCATCTCTCTAAGACACGACTGTCAGATGTTGGTTCTTTTTTCTCTCTCTACCTCTTTGTTTCTCTGAGTGTTTTGTGCGCTTGGGAGACACAAAGAGAGCAGGGGGAGAGGAAAATGGAGATAAAGTGACAAAGAAGAGGAAATTGTGCTAAATGTGTGTGTGAGGGGGGGCAGCGTTATCAGGTCTCACCGGTGGAGCAGCAGACGTAGACCCTCAGTCTCAGGCAGCTGTGGCCGTGGTGGTGGGTGGGCGTGGCTGCAACACACACACACACACACACACACACACACACACACACATCAACCTTGTGCCCTCTGCAGGCAACAACGCCCTCGATGATCAGCTGAGAAAACTGCAGAGCTGCAAATGAGCAACAGCCTGTCCTCAGCTGAACTCCCAGAATCCATTAGAAACACTGGCACTCTCACACTTGTGTGTGTGTGACAGCAGCTGAGGAGACATTAGCTTCATAATCTCAGATTTAAAGGCCCAGTGTGCAGGAATCATCTAATTATATTAATTATAATATTCATAAGTATGTTTTCATTAGTGTATAGTCACCTGTAATTAAGAATTGCTGTGTTTGCTACTTATGTGCAATTGGAAGAAGTTCTTTTACACAAAGTCGTGTTTTTAGGGTTGGCCCAGAACGGACACTGGTTTACCTGAGGGCTGGTGAAGTGTTTCCAACACACACAAGCCATTTTCAGACATGAACTCCCACTTTCCTGGAGTTAGTTTGCATTTCACATATGAAGCTGCAGGAGATATGTTTTTACAGGAAAATGTCCAGAAGATTCAGTATGTCTTTAAATACAGTCTATGGTATGACACCCATTTATCATGAGATAATTGTATTCTTTGTTTTTTTCCACTTTTGCATCCACCACATGTTTGAAATGTCATCAACACACCCACTCCTCACTTACAGGAATCTCCTGCAATCACTCTGACATTCCACAAAATGTCTGGAGCAACTGACTCAGACATTATTGTCCTTACAGCCCTTCTGGAATATTCCAGAAACTTCAGTGCATGTCTGACAGTGTCTTTGGAAAAGGAGGGTGAATGGAGAGGTATTATATACCAATAAATCCTACACACTGAACCTTTAAAATATGAAATGTGCAGCACACAACTGTTTCTAAGCATCATCATAACTGGCCTGACTCACAGATGTAGTAGTACTCCTGGCCCACGGTGAACTCGTAGCCCAGCGAGAAGGCGCTGTAGCGCTGGAACTTCTCAGAGAACTTGATGGGTGCGTGAGGCGCGTGGGGCCGGTTGCACTCCCAGCGTTTGAAGCCCAGCTGGGGGTCACAGGTGCGGTAGCCACGGTAGCTGACCATGTAGAGGATGTACTGCTCGGCTATGACGCGCTCAAGCGTCCCTCGCTGGCTGGTGTTGTAGTGTGGGCAGTAGATGTCCAGGTAGTCGTTGACGCTGACCTGCACCGTGTAGCCCTCCCTTCGTAACCTGTGTTAAAAATACAAAGAAAAGATTGAGAGAATTAAGTCGGTGGAACAAAAATAAATGAGGATATTAAGGGATGCAAATAATCAGTTGTTTCATTATTAAGTTAAGGAAATAATTCCTCCCATAACATGAAAACTGCAACTGGTCATTTCAACACTTTACTAACAAACAGGGACTAATAAATAAACTAAGTTTAAGAGATGTTCACAGGTAAACTTTCAGCAGCTATTGAATTGGTTTCCATCTGCAGCTCTAGCAAGACAGTGTATTTTGATGATTGGACCAAGAACAGACTCACACACAGGAATCAGACCAAAACACCAGAGTTCAAATCAACAATGTCAGTTTTAATGCAGACAGACGTCACACACAGGATCCACAGGCAAAAATCACAAACTCCAGAACAAAGCAGCAAAACAACAACAGGTTATGGTCATACGCAGGAGGGCTTCATGAGGAGTGAGCGCTGGAAAGCTTGATTTAAAGTACAGAGACGAGTCAGGGAGGCGCTGGAAGGAAGTGGTCTTCGTGGGCTGCGTAGACTGGTCTACAGAGGCTTCAGAGCTGAAGAGAAAGTTTTAGTGCCCCTTGGTTTGGTACTATTAGCTGTTTGGTTGAAACATGATACCCAAGCATCGGATTTCTCATTACTTGCCTTCTTAGAAAACACAGCACAGTTGCACTGCTGTGATGCAGTCGGTCTTTAGATGCAGCCTCTGAAGGATGCAGCCCCTGAATTGAGACACAGCTCATCTGGCTGAGAGCCATGTGTGAGCAGGTGTATATGTACTAGGTGAGCGATGACGGGCAGGTGTGGTGAGTGCAGTGGTGGGAAACTGAACAATGGGAGGAAGTGAAGCTCGAGTCCATGAACAGAGAGTGAGTGAAAAACAAAATAAAACAGGAAGTGGGAGTTCATGTATAATTAAATTTAACAAGCCATTAAAATACTTCTTTCATCACTATAATAGCAAATGGACAAAAGTAACAAAAGCGGCTAAATTTACTTTATAATGCTTTCAAAGAAAAAAGCAGCAAATCCTCACATTTCAGACAGAATCACTTTGTGTGAAAAATATCATAAATTACTAATACAGATATTGACCAGCTGATCGATGAACTGACCTCTTCACCTCACTAGATAACACAACAGCAGCACAATGAGGCCGGAGAGCTGTAATCCATTTTCTCTGAGAAATAAACTCCTCCACCTTTATCCCCCTCATATAAAAACACACACTCTCACTCAAGCCTGCGGCGCTGAGAGCGATTATCTGCACTCTTGTCTTTTCCCCCTTGAGCCAGCTGCAGGCCGGGTCACTGAGGCGGAAGGAGAACCTGTCAGTGGCGATGTATGCTCGGGCTGCAGGGGAAGTGGGCCTGCACATGGGCGCACATGATGATGGACCAAACCACAAACCCCCCCCCTCCTCCTGGAAAACCACCGCTGATGGACGAGCAGGCTGTGAGTGTTAGCAGGTACAGGCCAGGTTAAGTGTGTGTGTGTGTGTGTGAGATGAACATGACGGCACAGTAACCCTGAGACGATGATTTGGTATGATTTCACTGTCAAGCCCCCCGCTGTGATCCTCACTGTTTTCAATACTGAGTATACTTATTATGTAAATTACACAATCAGTAATTAGACAAAGTAGAAGTCATTAGAAGGGCTCCTGCAGGTGAGCTGATGAGATGGGAATTGTCCTTGGCTGCAGTGATGCGTAACCTGCACCAACCCGCTGTAATGACCCATATGCACCAGTAGGTGGAGGTATTGTGCTGTATTAAGTTTAAAGAGCAAATCTCTCTCCTCTTTCCTCTGCACTCACTTGTTTTTCCCCCTCTTCCTGGTTGTCTCCTCTCTCTTACACAGTTTTCTGTTACACACATACAGAGGAGTACAAACACATACACACTCACAACCACCCGTCACTGTGTACACACTATGCCAGCACACACACAAATACACACGTATACACACGTATACACACACAGCTCATGCAAACGTATACGTAACATTACGTTACTAGGTCAGGCCTCCAGAGGGATTACTATTCAATTACAAAATGAGGATCATAAATGTCATAACACCTCTCCCGCTTTCTCGCTCTCTCTCGCTCTCTCTTTCCGTCTCGCCATCTTTATCACTGAAGCGTTACAACTGTTCCTTTTTCTGGATCCTCTCCTCCGCTCCCATCCTCCTTTTCATCTGCACCTCTTCCCTTCATTTACACACATGCTGAGGCAGATGAATATCAGTTCTCTTAACCAGGGCTCTTTTTTCGGGCCATCAATCTTATCTGCGCTTTCTATCCCTGCTGCTCAGATGTGAGATGACAGACTTTTGTCTTGCAGTGTTGCGAGAAGAGACAACACAGCTACGCTTCAAAGGGACTATATTTAGAGAGGGGGGTTGGTTGGTTGGTGGTAGGAAAGGGGAGGAAGTTTGAGATCGGGGAGGAGAGGTAGAGATAGATAAAGAGGTACAATGACTGTGGAATAGTAAATAGATGGGAGAGGAAATATGAAAACGTTTGACGAGGAGAATCCTGGATGTGAAAAGTCGGCTAGTGACACAGTCAATGAGAAATAGGTGAGAGGACGTGGTATGAAGCAGGTGTGTGTGTGCATGTAATATAATTTATGGATGAAACACACTGAAACAGTAAAACAAATGCAGCTAATTCAGCATCACTGCATTTGTTCTTGTCGTTTGAAGATTTATTGGCTGTTCAGACAGGGACATGTAACAGTGTACACAAGGCCTCTGTAATGGGCAATCATGGATTATTTGGTGCATCCACGTGGCTTGAATGTAGAAGCAGGGAATGAGTGCAGGGTTGCAACAATATATGTATATCACATTTGGACACTTTTAGTATTTTGATTGATATATAACTTAAATAGGGTGGCACGGTGGTGCAGTGGTTAGCATTATCACTGTCACAGAAAGACGGTAAGCCATTCGAATCCTGGTTCAGCCGCTGTCTTTGTTTGTGGTGTTGGTTTGTTCTCAGCATGGTGTGTGGGTACTCCGACATGTTAGGTTCTTTGGACTGGTTAATTACGATTAATTGGAGACTGTTGTCAGTGGGTGTGAATGTGAATGGTTGTCTGTCTCTGTGTGTTGGCCCTAAAATGCCCTGACAACCTGTCCAGGATTAACCCCTCCTCTCGCCCAATGTCTGCTTGGGTTGGCTCCAGCTAACTCCCTGCAATCCTCTATAGATTACGGATAGATGGAAATAACTTAAATAATAAGGTAAATGTCAGCGGTAGGGGAAGCAGGAGAGAAAATTGTATTCTGCAGGAAAAAGAGAAGGTAAAATGGTGCAGGACGACTAATAGGGTGGAGTGAGAAGGACAGGCTGGCAGGGTGAGAAGAGGGGGGGAGTCCCGCTAGGTGTATACCGTTATATAAGCAGTCCACTTAGTGGGACAAGACAGAGAGGTTGCAGGGCAGAGAGGAATGGAAGGAGAGAAGAGGAGAAGAGAAATAGAGGAAGGGGGTGAGAGAAGATTTAATAAGTGACGGTGGAGGGAGGAGCAGAGGAGAGGAAAATGCACTGAATGATGACAACAAATAAAGCGATGGAAAAGGAAGGCAGAGGGCGAGACAGAGACATAGTGCTCCCCCAGGGATGAACACATGTGTGGTAAAAGTGCATAAAAAAGACTGATGGCTCTCATTCTCCTGTTGTCTCTCCTTTCCTGCAGCCTCCGACTCGCTCCCCCTCTTTCTGCTGTGCATTGTCTCTGTGGTGGTTTTCGCTGTCTCATCATCATTTTCCTATGAGTGGGAGTGCACAGCTAGTTAGCAAAGGCTGCACAAGCTGTCGAAGACTGCCAGGGGAGGCCGAGAGAAAGAGGGGGAGAGACGAAGAGCGAGTGAGAGAGACTGAGACAAAGATAGCACCGCTGCACCTTTCACATCAGCGCTAAAAAGAGTCTTTGGAGAACACTGCCGGTATCAATAAATAACAATGGTAACGTAGCACTACAGCTAAAAACACTTAGAAACATGCAGCGGACAGAAACAGCATTTTCTACAACCGCAGTAAATCTATAAAAAGTAGAAACATCATGATGCAGTCAATAAAACCTCGAAAACGAAAACGTTTCCCTCACTTTGCACACGACTGATGTCAATCAAAGCTTAAAATGAAACCAAACCAATGTCCTTTGTAGAATAAAAATCCATGTCCTGTGTAATAGGTTGTGTTTGCTTTAAAGTGAAATCAGACACATGAGCCGACTTAAAAAATAAAATAAAACCAGTATTTGTTTTATTTTTTTTCTTCCGACATGAATGGATATGAGAAGTCTGAATCCACAGAGGTATCCCTCACAGTCTGAAGTTAGCGCTGTTTCTTCTGCTGTGGGTTGGCCTCACATTACTGCCACAGGCTCCAACTGTTCTCAGGAAAATCCATTAAAAGCAGCTGAAAGAGACAAGTTGTTGCTTTTGACGAACATCGTCCAACCTTGCTGCAGAAAACACAGAACTAACTTCTGACTGTGGAGAATAAAACACTTGTGGCTTTCAGTTCTTGTGTCTTGGTGCTGATGTGAATCTGTATATCAGCAGCTGTCAGTGGCTTACTTTTACAGAATAACATCAGTGGAAAACGAAAATGTTATCTTCTGACGTTTTCTGCTTTATTTGAGCAGATTTTCTTTCTGGATTTAATTTCTTGCAAAGATATCCTGAGCTTTCTTCCCCCACTTGGTTTATGTGCTCAAATATCTACAAAGCAATTTTGAACAGAGCTTTTCTGTGTCAAAAATAGCAGCGCAGAGTCAGGATAATTTAATTGAAAGAATCGACTTAGGCATAAATGCCGTTGTCGCTGCTCAGATCTCACTCCCTACACCCACAGTAAGTAATCTCGGCCTAATTGACAGAACAATGGGTTTTTTTGTGCGTGTGCATTGTTTGTTATTATTTCTTCCAAAATGACTCAGATGAAAACTTAATTTGTTGAACATTTAATTAGAGT